AAAAGACAAGTTCAACAACTATTTTTCTCCAAAGCTGAACACTACAATTGAAAGATTCAAATTCAATCAGATGAAACAGAATGAAGATGAATCATTTAATGATTTTCTGACTAGGATCAAATTACAGATAGCAAACTGCAAATATGCTGTTATGTCTGATGAACTACTTAAAGATCGAATAGTTGTAGGAATTATTAACAATGAAATAAGAGAAAGACTTCTTAGTGAGGCTGACCTCAATCTGGAAAAAGCCACACAAATTTGCATAGCATGTGAAAATGCCACAAACCAAATGAAACAGGTACTAGCCGACTCAGACAAACAAGTTGCTGTGACAAAGATGAACAGTAAGAAGTGGGAAGATAGAAAAGAGCCGAGGAAAGAAAACACCACTAACCAGAGTCACAAAATAATAGAAAACTGCAGAAATTGTGGTAGATCCCACAAAATCAACCAATGTCCGGCATATCAAAAGAGATGCAAGAAACTCAACCATTTTGCTTATATTTGCAGATCCTAGAACACAAATTCATACAAAGTCAGACAAATTGTTGGGTCACCAGAACCTGAAATGATTCAAGAATTTGTAATCCAGTCAGTTGAAAACACCAACCTGACCGAAGATTGGTATGAAGAAGTAAAAATTAAAGGCAAAAAGGTAAACATGAAACTAGACACAGGTGCACAGTGTAACGTGTTGCCACTCAGCCTGGCAGGGAGATTAAATCTGGAAATCCAGTTCAGGACATTGAATTCCTGTCGAAGGACAAAGTCTAGCAATGTGCATGGTGAAAAACATGACTGCCTACATACGTTTCATCATATCCAGTGATAACACTTGTCCCATCTTAGGCAGACAAACCTGTTCCAATTTAGATCTCGTCAAGCGAGTAAACACCGGTCAAAAAATTACACAGGAATACCAAGAATTATTCGAAGGGATAGGATGTTTGAAAGGATATGAATACTAGGCAAAGTTTCAGACTTCGGACATGAACATGCAAGTAAGACCACCCAGACCTATTCCTCTATCTATTAAAGAAAGAATAAAGAAAGAACTTGAGGAAATGGAAGACAATGGATTATAAAGAAAGTAAATTACCCTACCCCCATCTCCAGTCAGATGGTTATAGCAAAACAGAAAGGAAAAATAAGTATATGCATTGACCCATAGGATATCAATTAATTAATTCTAAGAAGCCATTTCCCATTACGGACTTTTGATCAGATTGCAGTAAACCTGCATGGTTCAAAATACTTCACAAAGTTGGATCTGAAGAAAGGATACTGGCAGATCAAAGTAGCCCCCAACTCACAACGCTACTTTACCTTCAGCACTCCGTGGGGAAAATATATGTTCTTGAGAGTTCCTGATATAGGCTTAGCAAAAATACGATGTTTCTTTTTAAGGATTTCAAGTTGTTTTGTACTCACGTATGTTGTAGTTACGAGGACATCCCTTTTGATATAAACAAATATATATTTATTTAAGGAACGACTTGTTCCAGAACAATTGTTATAAACAAGCGAGCAAAGAATCAAACAGAAAAGTCATGAAGCGTAGAAGTAATGTTGTAATAGTAGTGACGTCAGCATCGATGATGATTAAAGACAAAGTTTGCGTAACAGTTCCCTTTGGAATCAAAATTGCTCCGGAAATATTCCAGAAAATCATGGCAGGCTTACTCCAAGACCTTGAGGGTACAGAAAATTCAATGGATGATATCCTGATCCATGCTCCGGATCCACAGACCCTGGAAATAAGCACAAGAGCTGTACTACAGAGGCTTAAAGAGAATGGCATCAAACTGAATAGAGATAAATGCAAATTTCAACTTCAAAAAGTCCAATTTTTAGGCCATATTGTCACGACAGAAGTCATTAAAATTGACCCTGAGAAAGTGCGTGCAATAGGAGAAATTAAGTCACCGAGCAACAAGCAAGAACTACAACGTCTCTTAGGAATGATACAATACCTGAGCAGGTTCATCCCTAACCTTGCAGAGAAAACCAAAAACATGAGGTTGGTTTTGAAAAAAGATACACCTTGGCTATGGGACGAATCCCTCGATTATGATCTCTTAGAGATCAAGACTCTGCTCAGAACTGCACCAACTCTGAAATTCTTTAATCCCAACATAAATCTGACACTTTCAGTAGACGCCATTTCATATGCCCTTGGAGCGGATCTGTTACAAAACGGAAAGCCGATAGCCTACGCATCATCAGCTCTCAGCTCCACTCAGCAGAACTATGCTCAGATAGAAAAGAAAGCTCTTGTCATCAAATTTGGATGCGACAAAATTCCATCAACTCATTTAAGGCAAAACTGTTGACGTCGAGACGGACCACCGTTCTTTAGAAACCATATTTAAGAAGCCATTAAGCAAAGCACCCCAGAGGCTCTCAAGAGAATTTTTCTACAGATACAACAATACGATCTCAGGATTAAATACAAGAAAGGAAAAAGAACTGCTAACAGCTGATCTACTAAGCAGAGACTGCTCATATGAAGACACCTACTTGGAAGAGAACTTTGAAGTACTGATGACCACCCCGACAAATAAGTCAAGCTATGAGGAACTTCAAGCTCTTACAAAATAGGACCAAGAACTACAAGAACTAAAAAACCTAAACTTATATGGCTGGTCAAACTACAAATCAGCAGTCCTTGAAAGCTGCAAGAAATAATGGCCATATAGAGATGAACTCTCGACAAACGAAGACCTAATCTTCAAAGGTAGCAGAGTCTTCATTCCCCTAAGGTGGAAAGCAAAGATACTTAAGTTAATCCACGAAGGACACCAAGGAACAAACAGCTGCTTGAGAAGGGCCCGAGACTCAATATACTGGCATGGCATGTCCCAAGACATCATCAACACAGTAAAAATTGTAGGACTTGCCAAGCAAATCAGAGGAACAAGACAAAAGAACCAATGATCATAAAAGAGATACCGAGTCTTCGTTGGGAGATAGTCGCAGCTGACATTTTCTCAATAAAAGGAAAAAATTACCTGTTAATAACAGATAACTACTCTGGATTCATTGATTTCAAAGAAATGAAGACAATGAACTCTGCAGAAACTATTGAATCTCTTAAAAAATGGTTCAGCGTACATGGAATTCCCAGACTCCTGGAAATTGATAATGGGCCAAACTTTACGTCCAGGGACTTTAAAATTTTCAAAAGAAGTGGTTGTTCGACCACCAGACATCAAGTCCTCTATATCCTAAATCAAAAGGATTAGCAGAGAGAGCGGTACAGACAGCCAAGAACCTCATCAGGAAGTGTTTGGATTCAGGACAAGAAGTGGAACCAGCACTTTTGAACTTTTACAACACTCCTAGAGATGGTCTTCCTTCACCGGCTCAGTGTCTGTTCAGTCGCAGGACCAGAACCCTCCTTCCCACTAGCACTCATCAGTTGGAACCAGAAATCCAAAAGGGACATACACAAAACCTAAGAAATAAGCGGGAGAAGCAGAAAACACACCACAATAAGACAGCTAAGACAAAGCGAAGCTTCAAGAAAGGTGAAAAGATAATGCTGAAACAGCATCACCGTGAATGGATCCCTGCCAAAGTTACCCAAAAGGTAGCTCCAAGATCATATGAAGTGAAAACACGTACTGGTGAGTGCCGCCGCAACAGCTCTGTCATGCGACACACGAATCTGGAGAGTCCAAAGCAACAGCGAAGGAGAATCCCGGAGATCCCCAAGACAACTCTACCGGAAGGACCTGGCCCGAGCGGCGATAAGGAACAGGCTCAAGTTCCCGAAGAACTCAATACTTCTCCAAGAGCATTCTCAGGCCAGGAACCCAGGAGTGATCACCAGAACACGGAGCACAAGAACGGCACCCTGCCCATTACAACAAGGTCCAGGCGGATCATTAAGCCACCCAAGTGATTTGAAGAATGAATTTCTTCAAAGGGGGAGATGTAACGGCAGCTGGCATGCCTATATAGTAAATTATCAGTGAGCACATTATTATCACTGATGGTACTCTGTGCATGTTGCCTTTTGACTTATTGTGATATATATTTTCACATGTAAACTTATGTCTGATATATTATATCCGATGTTAGCCTAAAAGAAATAAAGACTTTTCTTTTTAAACTTCCAAGTTCTTCTTGCTGATTAACATCAACCAACAAATTAGAGGACGTTAGTTATTTCTCCATCGCTTTTATGATGAGATCAAGACACCCTGAAAGACTTCAAATGAGAGGTCTTACCCCACCCGCCATACTCCAGACATCATCCCATCCTATAGATGGCTCATGGGCTGGTAAAACACTGCTTCCAGAATTGCAAAGTTAAAAATTGGCTTGTTGGATTGCCTTGAAACCAAAACCTTTTATTTTCTGATGGCATCCTTTAATTACCCAAATTATGGGAGAATGTTGTATATAACAATGATAATTATTTTAAACTAGCCGAATGACCCGGGAAACGCCCGGGTTTTACCCGATTAAATGTTTTTATTCAAATACTATTCGTTACAATTATAAATTGGCGCCGTGGATGTCACTCTTGTGAAACGTCCCGCTCCAAACTTTGTGTCTGAGAAGCGATATTTTTATAGAGAGATGATCTGGCTTTTGTTTTCTGCTCGAATGAATGTTTTTCTGTTAGAATTTTGTTCCTGCGTACAAAATAATAAACTGGTTTCACCCGTGGTCTCTGCTTTTTTGGAATTTTTCCCGATATAATTTTGTATCTGTTAATCAAACATGATACAGCAATATCGTCATCATCATTTTCTGACTAAAAATATATAGATTTAATAATTGATTTATATATTTTTTAAAATAGCCTATCGTCTTCCCCGTATTTTTTTACCTATGTATGGGAATTTTGGTTTGAATTAGTGATCTACTGCGAATTTGTATACCGGAGATACAGACAGACAAACAGACAAACAAACATACAAACATTCATTTTTATATATATAGAGATATTGACATCATATATTAACTTTATGAACGGAAAATATGTCCAGGGTAGCCTAGTGGTCATGGCATCTGCGCCTTAAGGTCGTGGGTTTGATTCCCATCCCTTGACACTTTTTTTATTTTATCCATTCTGACCAAAATCTATCCGTGAACTTCACACAGTGAACTTCACACAGACAGAATAAGGCAATTATATAAGTAGATTTAAAAAGTCTAATATAATTTCAGTTTCATTAATTTTCCAACTGGAAAAAATTTGCGCAATCAATAATATTTTTCATTCCTTGCCATTATTTTCTTTTATATTTTGATTTTTTTTTGCTGTGAGCTAATGCTGAACCCACTGGACAATTCTTTCAGCAGCCCTATATAATAAAATGTTTATTTTAATATTGGTTGTCTACATATAATAACCTTGATTTCATAGGCGTTGAGAGAAGACTTGAATATGCTTAGCCTTAAATATCTGGAGAGATAAATGAATTTAAGATGGGTACAAAAAAAAAAGCTTTACAGTGTGTGAGTGCTGTGGCAAGGGAGGCTACCACAAGGTCCATAAGTTAACCAAAGTCCAATCATGATAATCATCAGGCTCTGAATGCAATTGGGTGTCAATACCGGAGTCAAAATCTTTGAATACAGGGCTCGAGGATAGTCCTCGACCCTTCTAAAATAGTTGTTTATTCCCTGCGGAAGAAACGTAAACTCGAGAGCTTTCTATAAAATTTTTCCTATATTTTAAGTGGTAGTGTGCGTGTTTTTGTTCATATTTAACCTTGAGATCTGCGTGTTGTTAAAGTTGTGTCTGTGTGTCTAATGTGGGTAAATGTAATGTTTTTTCAAAAGTCTTTAAAAGAAATATAAGAATAGAAATGTAAAAACTCATTGGGATGGTGGTTTGTTAATATTTTAGTATATTGCTATTAATATAATTAAATTGTGTATCTTGTAAAAGTCGATATGTATGCTCGCTGTACTGGGATCCCAAAATTTGTGACTTTTATTTGTGCATATCGGGAAGGACGCGTTGACCTCAATTTATTTTCGGCGTGGGGGGAAATATGAGACCGATGTCCGCCCTCCGTTGGTGTAATTTTATGCTCTATAAAAATGGTGGACGTCTTTACGTCGCGCGAGCAGCAAATAGTCTCCATTTCACTTCCGCTTTCTAATTGATCTCTTTCCCGACGCCCTAATTGTCCTCCTAATTGATTGTATTATTCCCTCTGGACACCGTTTTTATGAGTTGGATCGAGGCCCATTGAATTTTTCTAAGTTTTCTCCGAGAATTTCCCACAGGAGGTCTAGGAATTCTACAATTGCTTGGCCTATATGGAAGATGGCTTCATGGACGGAATTTCCTATATGGAAGATTTTTTCCTGCAGTTGGTACAATCGCCGAGGTCGTAGGGTATAGATTAGCATGTGAACTATAAATATAAATGGGGCGAGTCTATAGGGTAGAACCGAAGAAAAATAACAGAGATTAGGTGAAAAATGGGATATTGGCACATCTTCTCCCATGTTTTTGCCATGAATTGGGGCTCTTGAATTTCGGGTTGGGCTTCTATTGATTGGGGCGGATTTGAAACGGGGTGTTTTTGTGGATGGGCTATATCACATTTCTTGGGGCTAGGCGTGAGTTGCGTAAATCGTTTTTTGGAAAAAATGGTAGGATCTAAATGCTTGAAAGGCTCGCTGTTTGTTGGTTTGAATTTCAACGGCTCTGCTGGAAACAGTTCGGGTGTGAGGTGTTTAAACGGGAACGTGTAATTGTGTTTGTGTCGCACATGGTGTATTTTTATGGCGGGTGGTGATATATATTGGATGTTTTCTGTGTATAGTTTAAGTTTGTTGACGTGGATCGTATCAGTATCTCTTTGGAGAGGTTGGTTGGGTCTATCGATACGGACCACATTTGGTGAGATGATCTCTAATATTGTGTATGGTCCTGTGAAATATGGGGCGAGTTTTCCTGTGTTGGGGTGATGATATAATTTAACTAATACCAGGTCACCTATTTCGAAATGTGGCTGTTTGTGTCGTTGGTCATAAGTGTTTTTATCTTGTATGTGTTTGTTTTGGGTTCTAGTGTGTGCGATCTTCCTAGCTCTGTCGATGTATGGATAAGGTGTGGTGTGGTCAGAGAGTTCTGGGGGTAGGACGCCAAACATCAGGTAGATAGGCGGAAAACCGGTGACAGAGTGTGGGGTACTGTTATATATAGTTGTAACTCGTTTGACCAACTTGGTCCATGCGATCTTAGGATTCTCCAAATGTAATAGCCTAAGTTTTCCTGCGAGGGTGGTGTTTAGGCGTTCACATAGACCGTTGGCTTGTGGATTATTGCTAGTTGTGAGTAACGGGTGGATACTCCTGTTAAGCAGGAAGCTCCTAAATTTTGGCGAAGTGAATGCAGGGGCTCAATTCGTAAGAAGGCGTTTCGGAGAGCCATCCTGTAATACTCGCTTGAGTACCTGTTGATAGGTGGTAATGCTGGTGGATTTGGATTGGAACGTCCATGTATAGCGCGAAAAATGGTCGACTACAACATGGAGTTATATTTTGGTGTTGCCATATTTGGCAAATCCTGCTATGGTGCCGAGGGATAGTAGGTCAAAGGGTCCTTTGGCTTCCGGCGGTTGACCTAATTCCCCGTAAGTGGGTCCCAATGGACGTTTTGTTAACTGGCAGGTGGGGCAGGTTTTAACCTTTTGTGTAATGTCTTTTGACATGCCCTGCCAGTAATACTGAGCGGAGATGAGTCTTGTCATTTGTGATATACCTGGGTGGTTGTATTGTGTGTGTACTGTTTGTAGTAGTTGGTGGATGAGTGTTTTTGGAATTATAATTTTAGTTACACCTTTTCGAGAAAGGGTATGCAGTCCATTGTGATCAATGGTCAGGCTAGAATCTCCCGATGGAGAAGGCTGATGGTTCTTAATAAGGGAGGCGTCTAAGAAACCACAGAACGGGTTACGGTATAAGAGATCCGCCTCATATTGCTGTTTTCCTTTTATGTAGCGAACCTCATACTCGTAACTCGACAGCCGTAAACTTCACCGAAACAATCTGCCTGACAGGTTTTTGATTGTTTTCAGCCACTGCAATGCGTGATGGTCAGAAATTATAGTAAATTTTCTGCCCATCAAATAGATGCGAAACTTCTCCACACTCTCAACTATTGCTAAGCACTCAAGTTCAGAGATGGAATAGTTTCGTTCGTGTGAACGCAGAGTGCGGCTGAAATACTGGACTGGATATATTTTCCCATCAGGGTGAACCTGTTTGAGGATGCCTGCTATACCGAGGGTGGAGGCGTCACAATACACCTGGCATGGCAGACCCACTTTGTAAAGGTGTAAGATGGGGTGTTGTGTGAGGCTCTCTTTCAGGCTAATGAACGCCTTTTGGCAATTTCATCCCAGACTCACTTGACATCCTTTTTGAGAAGGTTGTTAAGTGGTGTCCGCAAGCGGGCGTATTCCGGGATGAATTTGTTATAGACGTTCACAGCGCCTAGAAAGGATTGTAGTGTTTTGCGGTTGTGTGGTTGTTTGATGGCGTGGATGATGTCTGTGTTGCGTGTGAGTGGTGTGGTGGTACCAGCTGTGATGGTGTAGCCTAGGAAATTTATGGACTGTTTAAAAAATTCGCATTTTGCGAAGTTAAGTTGTAACTTCTCTACCTCGCAAAAGGCGAAAAATTGTCGCAGGTGGTTTTGATGTTCCTCCAGTGTGTTGGAAAAAATGATGAAGTCATCAAAATAATGTGCCACACAGTCAAGTCCGTGCCTCTGTAGGACCTGACTCATGGCTCTTTCGTAAATCTGGGGAATGGTTTTCAACCCGAAAGGCAATCGAGTGTGCTGATATAACCCTTCGAGCGTGGCAAAGGCCAACAGTGGTCGAGAATCGGGGTGTATTGGGACCTCTAATACGCGGAGGATATGTCGGCCGTGGAGAAATACTTGGCCCGTGCGAGACGGTCGAGTATATCCTCGATCCTAGGGAGGGGATGGACATCAGAGCTGATTAGCTCGTTCACCTTTCTATAGTCAATACAAAACCTTTTGGTCTTGTCGCGCTTGGTGACGAGAGTGACAGGGCTAGAGAAAGGTGAAAAAGACTGCTCTATAATGCCGTTTTCCAGCATCTGTTGGACCTGGTTGCGGATTTCCTGTTGGTCACATTTCGGAACACGATATGGGAGTATGGTGATTATTTTGTCGGAGTTCGTGGGTATTCTTACTTGTGGGATTTTTAAGCATGGTGCGCTGAATTTGTTTTGGGTAAAAATGTGGTTGTATCTTTGTAAAAGTGTGGTGAAGTAAGGTGGATAGTGAGGGTTGTGTGTCGTATTGTAGCATGTGTATGGGAAAGAAATTTGTTGTGTTTTAGTGTGAGTGTCGAGTTTGTTGCGCTGGTTGTGCGTGTGACTGTTGTGTGACGACGTGTGGTCACGTATGTGCTCTGTATGTGAGCTGTCCTGTTGGATGGACACGTTTTGTGCATTGTTGTTTCAAGTTGAAGCCGTTGTGGCCTTGTTATTTGAGGGCATATAAAAAAGGCAATTGGCCTTAGTGAAAAAATTGTGTCGTGCGTGCGCGTGACTAGATTGGCATGTGGGTGATTGGGTTTTGACCAATGGATGCGCGCATTGGGTGCCATGTGCGGGAGGTTGGTGTGCATGGTGAGTATTTTGTGACATCGCTTGGCACTCCCAATACGTGCATTCATTGGGTACATGGTGGAAATGGTAGGTAGGGGTAGACAATGGGGCGCCAAGTTGGAATATAGTGCCTTGGTTGAAGTTTATTGCTAATTTAAAATTACGGAGGGTATTTATGCTGAGAATTCCAAATGGTAGAGGTGCTTTCACCACATGGAAATTTTCCTTTTCAGTTAGTTTACCTATTGTCAGGGGAAGGGTCAGTTTACCTATTTTTTACAAGACCATTTATAGCCTGTAGGTCTATAGACTGTTCTTTTAATTTAAAATTAGGGAGGTTAGTTTTTAACATTTTATATAGATTATGGGGCACTATATTCAAACTTGCGCCTGTATCAATTAAAAAATGGGGGCGACAGTTCAGGGGTTAGAAACAGTT